CCTCATCGCCGCCGGAAAAAAGAACCGCATAAATCCAAATATTTCTTTGCTTCATCGATTTATACGCGTGAATCGTATTTAATTTCTTTTTTTCCGTTGCATGAAAAAGCTTCCTTTTCGCAGTTAAGTATTGAATAAATATAGTGGATAACTTTGTGTCAGTGGACTATCATTCGCTTCTGTGATTACATACGTACGAGCAAATTGCCGAGCGCTCTTATTGCACCGAACATAATGCACGACATTCTCATATTTTAATATGAATTCTTTCTCTTTGATATTTTTTTTATTCTTGCAATCTCTTGATGTATTTTTATATACGCCTGGCAATTAAAATCAATGTCGATAATTCTATTTCTGGTAATGAAATTATTCGATTGTAGGGGAATCATAGACTGCGAAAGCGCGCTGAAAGTATAATTTTCCCACTCGGAAGTATCGGCAGCGATGCGGGCCATTACCTGCCGGCACGCCGCCGCGAGTAATGCGTTTTTCTTTAGACTACAGTGTAACAATAATAACACGCGCGGCGCACTATCCTACCTCTATGAGTCAGCGCGTGGCCACGGAGACGTAATCATTTCAAACACGCGGGTCATCGTTGAGTAAGCAATTGTCTTTCAACGGATGCCCGAAGGTCTGCATGTCCCTCGCGGGATTTTTAATTCCGCGCGTGACAGCGCGAAATGCGAAACGCCGCCGCAAGATTTCCTTTTGATCCTCCTTGATCATTTTTCGACGGCCTTCTTTCAGACATATAAGAAAACTATTGAGCGACGATGATGAGACATTTTTATTGAATGCAAAATTGAAAAGGACCATTTGATGAATGCCGCGCGTTCAAGCGTCGCGATTCATATTATACTGTTTCCAGATTTTTACGTGCTACGGCTTCCCGTTTTATGTCACACCTTGCAAATCGCGGAACTTGGAGGTCGTTGCCTTTCTTGTGTCGTGCATGCTGGCGCCTACGAAGCCGCTGAAAGCCGTCGCTGTTGTGTGCACGCACGGTTGTTGGCTCGTGATTCAATTCGCGATGGAGCAGGCAATACCGCCGCCTCATGAGACCGATATGCGAGCAGCGTATTTATTTCGCGGCTAAGAGCGAGGAATGCATGCGACTCCAAATGACACGCTAGGCGCAACAAACGCGAGCTTATTCGTAATTTTACCTTAATTATCGCAGCCACGCTATTATTTATCGTGTAGCATCAGAGATTCCGGTAGATCTAAAGATTGCAGAAGTAAAAGAAATGTATGGATTCTAGAGTGTGAACATTTTGAAAAATTATAAAACTTTGGCGGCAAGAGTATTAAGAGATAAGAAATATTGGTCAAGTTCAAAATCTGATAATGATAAGAAGGAAATACTTAATGATTTTTTGTTCGAAGAAATTCTGCACTGTTTTGTAACATTTCGTAAGAGATAATTAGTGACGAGAAATTTCGTAAGAATCGTTTGTAGATATTCAACATTCAACCGATGTGAGTTATATGTAGTTGGGAAGTAAGTCCTCAGACTTGTTCTACAGAGTTGTAAATCATTTTTTTCGTGCAATTACGACTGCGGAATGATGCAGCGTAAACACGCACACTACATATATTTTCTCTCTTTCTCGCGGTTCCTCGCGAATTAAATCGCTTCTCCGTGTGCGCCAGACGCGCCGTTCTTTTCGAACGGACGAAGAAATTCAGGTCAACAATAAATCAAATTAATTTTCTTTTTCTTGACAGCCGTACCGTACTTGTTATTGTAAATGCTGAAGCTGATTTTTTTTTTACTTTCAGGTAACGTGGATATCGTGAACGGCAACTTGAAGCTGATCTTAGGTTTGATATGGTCGCTCATCGTGCGATATCAAATAGGGAAGTCCAAGTTCCCGCCGAGGAAACTCATGCTTGCATGGCTCAAGGTCGGTACACAATACGATTGCAATGAGCCGCGACCTCGACTGTAAATGTCGTGATTGTGATCTCTGATTTTATATTATTTTTCAATATTTATCGAATGATATAAATGATATCTATAAATGTTTATTCTTAATGTAATGATATTTTAACTATAAATTCTAATCAATCGTTTGGTAAATAAGTTTTACTGCACAATGCAGTAAACGATTATTTTATCTATTCGATTGAGTCTACGTATATTACATTATGCGGGAACGTATTTTCGTTACGAAAAAGCACAGAGCACGTATACGAATTATGCGCTTGCACGATTGTGCATGATATTAATATTTGTATGTATGTATATATACACACACGCGCAGCGCAGCGCATTGCGTTGTAATTTATTTACGCTGCGTTTGACCCTTGGCTATCTTGCATATCTCAGTCATTTTAATTGCTCGCTAATAACTGGAGAAAAATAATTGGCAAAGGGCTGGATAATTTCTTAGAGCGATTCTGCTTTCAGGCTGTTTTACCGGAATGCAGAGTTAATAATTTCACGACCGACTGGAACTCCGGCGTGTACTTGAGCGCGCTTTTGGATTACTGCAAGCCTGGTCTGTTTCCTCATTGGCGGCAGCTCGATCCAAATGACAGGTAAAATGGATAATACCATAGGCATAGTATGAAATTGTTTTTTAACTCCTTTGATGACAGACATAGTATGAATATCAAATTCAAATGTATTCATACTATGAATACGCTTTTCTATTGAGAGAAGTGGGCAATGCTCCGTCTATTCATATGGTTCTACCGCTGTTCCGGCTCATCCGCTCATCCGCCGGCTGGAAAGTTGGGTATTCGCGCGTAAAAGTTACCCACTGTAAGCTTAGGTCCTGCCGTGTATTTGGAAACTTGGGTCTTTTCGCGCGTTTCCCTCTCCTTCATCGCCGAAACTCTAGGTCCTTTCGTGTTTTTTGCTCATCCGCCGCGGGAATGTTAAGTTTTATCCATAAACATAGCATAAATAATACCAATGTTCTCTCTCAGTTCAGATCAGAAAAGCTAGAAGAAATTTCAAAAAAGGACGAGTGTTTTCAATAGCGAGACATTAATAATTAAATAGTTATTTAATAATGAAGATTGAAGAATTTTAGTCGTAAATTATTACTGTGATGAAATAAAATCGCATTTACATAATTTATATGGAATGTGTCGTCATCACATATGTTTGTATTTATTTTCAGTGTTTACAATTGTCGGAAGGCCATGGAGATATCGAAACGAGAATTTGACATTCCCATGGTGTTGGAGCCAGAGTACCTGGCATCGCCGTATCTGGACGAGCTCTCGGGGATGACCTACTTGTCGTATTTCATGAAAGAAGGCTCGCCGGGCTTCCACGCAACGCTACGATGGGTCAATTCGCAATTATCGCACACCTCGATACGGAACTTCACGGTGGGTGGAGTTAAGGCGTCCCAAGCTTAACAGTACTTCTGTGTATAATATCTTACAACGATACTTAATTATTCCGCTTTCACAGACGGACTGGAACGACGGTAGAGTTCTGTGTGGAATTGTCAGAAATCTGGGCGGTCCGGCGCCGACCTACGAGAAACTCGATACGGACCCGTCCGCGTGGGAGCAGAATTTGCAAATGGGTAAGCAATTCATAAATATGTTTTCCAGTGTGTTGCAGTGAATTTTAAATAAAAAGTACAAATATTTAACAAGCATTTATTACACATCCATACAAATTAATTACATTCTGCGATTTAAATATTATATTATTTGATTATATTTTAACTATAAATTCTAATCAACATTTTTAGTGTGCCTATAGCATATTAAAAAATTAAATAAAACTCAAATAAATTTCTGAAAAAGGACAAGAATCGATTAATTTTTGTTAGCAATCAAACGATTTGTATTCTCTGTAAAGGTATCGATGGCGGCAAGAAATTGGGTGTAGAGCCGATTTTAAAAGTAAAAGATATGGCCGACCAGAATGTGGAGCATCTAGGCGTGATGGCGTACGCGGCGTACTTTCAGTGGGTGAAGCCTCGCCCTCAAGCAAGCCAACAGATTGCTGTGCATATCGACAGTACATCCGCCCGAGTGCAACAGCCGGTTGGTCAAGTCATTGTTTGTTAATTGCAACTCCGCGCCGCAGATAATCATTATTCACGAATTTTCACGCGTCACGTCATAGTACAATACTTCTTTTGGTCTCTCCTTCATCAGTCGATAAAACATTTGCAAAGACCGTTCTACCCTCCGATTATGTTGGTTGAATAGTAAAGATGTACGATTTGATCATAGGCGCACTTTAAACTGGAGATGCTGACCAAAGATGTAAATCCGAGAGAGGTACGCGGCGAGATCATTGGTCCCAGCGGACGCGTAGAGTGCAGGCTAACGTGGAACGGAGTTCACGGCAAAGGCACTTTCGTACCTACGGAAGTCGGTATGCATAAGGTTCGTTGTAAGGACAATATAAAAAACGTTGGAAATTTTACAATCTGTAATATATTATTATTATTATCTTTAATTATAGTATCTGATCTATTATTAGTAATCTATTAGTAATTTTAAGACATTCGAGCCTCTGATTTGTGCATCTGTGGAATTTTTATTTTATAGAAAATTAAAATTTAGAAATTTGTACAAGTATCGATATTCAATGTTTTCTATATTATCTAAATTTGTTTTTTGTTTTTTAGCTAATGGTGTACAATGATGGCGAACTGGTGAGCGGATGTCCCTATTATTTCAGGGTTTTGCCACCTTTGACAAAAATCAAATCCCCGGGCATGGATCCTTGCGCCATAGGATCTATCGTCGAGGTTCTAGTCAACAGTTACGGTAAGTGTTTTTACAAGGATACGAAAGCACTTGTCCGGCGAGCAGATCATTCAGAATGTTGTAATTCTGCGCTTAGGAACTAGTCATGATGGTATTGATGTGACTGCGTGGTCTCCAACCGGCAGATCGTTGCCGTGTCCCGTCAAAGAAAAGGACGGTGTGCATACGGCGACCTTCCAGCCCGATGAGACTGGAGAGTGGAGCATCGCGATAACGCACAAGGGAAATCACATACAAGGCGGTCCTTTCACCTGCTTTGTGTTCGATCCTAATGGAATCAAGGTACGAGCGGCAACATAATTCATTCCTTAATTCGTAGGTACAGACGGGTTTTTATCTTTTACATCCGCCAACTTGCAACCACTTTGTAAATCGCAACGTGTAAACGATACGATCAAGACGCGATTAATAATTACAAGCAAGACCAGCTTACACGTGTTACAATCGCTATTTGCGATAATTATATCTCCGAGATAACACGAATTCTGAAATATAATTTTTGCCGAGCTCAATTTCCAAACTTTGATTGATCGAGGCAATATTCGATAAAATAAATTCAAGTAAGCTAAGTAACATAAGCTTCGAGAGTTGAATTTTCAAACTATAATCGTGAAAATATTTTGCTGCGGAGAATAATTTAATACAATTAGTTTTTAATCACTTGCACATAGCTCTTGGATACCGACGGTGCCATGCCCGGGCAATCTTTCTCCTTCATCGTGGACGCCCGAGGGACAGGCGGGCTCGGTGATGTGATTATCGACATTGTCCACGACAAGCAATCGATGCTATACAGAATGGAAGACTTTGGCCACATGCAGTACCGAGTATCTTTTGTGCCCGGCGACGCTGGCAAGTATCGGGTGTACGTATACTTGAACGGATCGGACGTACGCGGCTCGCCGTTCTCGATACGCGTAGGCACGCAGAAGGGTTCTCGGAGATCGAAGGAATCTACATCCAGTCTCGAGCGATCCAAGGTGTCGTCGTTGGAGCGGCGAATGAACGGGCTGAATGTGTCTGCGACGGAGCGGATCAGTCCGACTCAGAAAATGTACACGTCCACCGCGTATAAATCCATCAGCCCAACGCAACGCGGTTATTCGCCCGTCCATCAAACCAGTCCGACCTACAAAATGTCCAGCAATTATGTCACTGAGAATTCTACGACCTACAGCACCAGTTCGCTAAATCGCACTCGTTCACCGAATCATATCAATCACAGCCCGGTGCAGAGAAATGTACACAGCCCATCGGTGTTGAAGGAGACGAAGGAGATTTATAGCAGCGGCGCGTACAACCATCACTCGAGATCGCCAAACCTGCAGAGCCCGAGTTTTATCAAGGAATCTAAAGACATTTACTCGTCTAGTACATTAAACAGATCGCGGTCACCGGACCTAAGCCCAACCGCGCACGTTATCAAGGAGTCCAAGGACATTTACAACTCGGGTTCTCTGAAGAGATCGCGCTCGCCGACTCGCAGTCCGATGGCGTACAGCAGCGCTACGCAGAGCCCCGTAAATCGCAGTTTTAGCCCGCGGAACGGCGACAGGGACGCGTCCTTCAATCGGCGCGGATCCACGGATAACGGCGTCGTAGACACAAGCAGCAACGTGCGGGTGTCGTCGATGGTAGGCGGCGCTTCTAGGCGCGATTCCTGGGACGCGATTGCCAAAACGAAATCGCTGCTATCGTACGGTAGCCTGGAATCTCTCGCGAACCTGACAAACAACTCACCGACTACGGAGAATCGCGTCGGTAGTCCGAACAACTTTCTAAACAACAATTACAAGAACGCGCAGACTTATTCCGCCAAGAATATGTCATCGCACATCGCGACGACGAGCTACTCGTCCGTGCAAAAATCCTCCCCAAGTCCTGATTACGGATCGAAATTCGGTAACGACAGTCAGACGACCGCTCGTACACATGGCATCTTGAAGAATAAGAACAATTACTACAGCAAGAGCGTAGACACGACGGACGGCACTGTGACGCACGACAAATATCTCAACAACGGCGGTACCGTTTACGTGTCCGCATCGTCCGGCAAGAATGGCAGCTCGGTCGTCGCCACCGGAAGCGCGTTGGAAACGCTGCCGGTGCATCGGCCGACCACTTTCAGCGTCAATTCCGGATCCAGCGTCGATCCCAATAAGGTGTCCGTCACCGTTACAGGTAAATCCTGACGCGATTTACTTCGATTCGTGGTGCGTGTCACGAATGCATAAAGTTTGAATTACATATTTTCTGCAGGTCCCAGTGGCAAGACTGTGTCGGTACAGAAGTCAAAACTACGAGGTCTCACATACACAATCACCGCCGAAGAAATCGGCGAACATGTCATCCAGATTCTAGTAAACGGCCAGCACATCAAGGGATCGCCCTTCAAGTTTGTAGAAGATGATATTTTTATCTTCAAATCTTTATTCAAGACATCTTTGAGAAATTTTTAGCATAATTTTGATAATGTAGCTTTAAAAAATTTATAAAATTAAATTCGAGCTTTTTTCAATTCTGTTAAATATTCATTCATTCCGTTGAAGATTCATCGGTTGAAAGATATATAAAAACGTAGATAAATTATATACTATATGATATTTTCTAAATTTAGATCGCAGGCGTACAATGCCCGGGTAATACAAGTTGGAAATATTCCGAACGGAGTTGTCAATCAGCCGGTAGAATTTGAAAGTACGTATTTGTGTATCACGAAACCGTAATTGCAGCTGATATAATTTATAAATGAAACGCTTTGTTCGATAGTCGATGGATCGAGAGCCGGCTCGGGAAACTTGGAGATTCTCGTAAACGGAGGACATGTTACAAGTTTCGTGAGAGCGCTAGGCAGTCAGCGTTTTTTAGCGTCGTTCGTGCCACACGAAGCAGTTACGCACTTGGTCGAAATGACGTTCAACGGGGAAGTCATCCCTGGTAAGTCGCTTTGTACAGACATTTACTTCGCTCGACATTTGCAGTCGAAAATCTTTTAATAAACGAGTTTAAAAATATAAAACAAGAATGAATAAAATAGTGATAAGAGAAGGTGATCAAGAGTCGACGCTGGATGTAAGTGCTTCTCAAATCTTCTTTATTTAAAAGAGTTGATTTAAAAGAGTTGAGTAAACGTTTCTGTCGTCAATCCGACCATCTTCAGTACAAAATCTGGAATTCGAAGAATCGTGAGAGTCTTATGAAACAAAATGTTGCAAGTCGTCCTTTAATGTAACTGCCATTTTATACGAGACAGAAAAATGTGTGAAGACATGTGTAATCTTTGATTAGTAGTCTATTTAAAAGATTGTGAGCTACTGTCAATGAGCGCTACAAATAAAAAAGATTTAAGAAGATTTAAGAAGCACTTAGATCCAGCGTCGGCTCTTGATCCCCTTCTCTTATCACTATTTTATTAATTATTGTGAGCCTTTAAACAATTCTTGTTAAAACAAGAATGTTTGTCTGCATTCTTGTTTGTATTATTTAAATTCAGAATATAATTTAAATTTATTCAACAAGATATTAAAATGCAAATCGTAAAATAGCTTCATTTTGTTGTCAACAAAATGTGGAATTATTTCCTCGCATGTTAAATTTCAAAATCAAATATTGTGTTTAATTGATTAAAAGCAAAAAAAAAATTTTAAGAGATCTCGGAAAAATCATTGTTTAATATCAGTTATGTATATGTGCTACGTGATTCCGGATTTCGAGTATTAATACGAAACTGAGTTTCTTTAACGATTAAATGCTCGTTAAAACTCAGACATTTATTTCCATAATGTTCTATGCTGTCTCAGTGTTGGTACGATCGCTATTGTTGTCGCGAATATCTTAATTTTTGCTGTGCGATTCTTAACGCACCTTTCTTTTGTCGAATTCCAATGGTAACAGCCTTCAGCGCTTCTCTGCTAGAATAAATTCTTACCGCGTGCGTGCATACATACGCACAAATACACATATCTGCTGGAATGCACGATAGTATTTGCCATCACCATTAAAGAAGCTGGAATGCATACTCGCCGTTGAAATGTTGTTTATAAATACGTTGCGCGAACGATGATCCAAGTCTGAAAACTTATCCAAGTCGATATGCTATTTATAAACAAAAATTAACGCGTCGATAAATCAAGATTTCAAAATGATTTGTTTGATGAAAATTTCTATATGCGTGTGAGATAAAAAGAGTATATCAGATCAGCATTTCAATTAAATTTTAGACTGATCAACGCGTTCTTCACGTTCACGTTATTCACATCGCATTATCGCGTACTTTCATTAATACTTTTAATAATAGTGAGATCTAATTATAAAATAAACTTGGTCTAAGAATAATTCTTTAATTATGATCTTTTTTATCTTAACATTCATGTTCGAGTCGCTGTGTTTCTGAATATCTCTTGGTGAAAATAATTCATTCACTTTCCACAGTCTTGTACATAATATTAAGATCTTTCGACATTCAAGCATTGTCTTTGATTTTACATACATAAATGCTTCGCTAATTAGCATTACATTAAATTATTCAATTTATTGTTATTTAATTAATTTGGATTTATGAGAGAAACGAGAAACATATAGCAAATTAATTTTTGATATCAGCTTAAATTCAGAAAAGTATTACACACGTATGTTAAATGGTACATCATTGGCACGAATCCACCTTGAGCCCCGTCATGCTTCGCCACGTCAACTACGAGTAATACCTCTCTTTTCTCTCACGCGTGCGAGCACAATTCACAATGTAAGTACTCGCGATTTTATCCGGGAATATCATTCACTGCTGCACTGTGGAGCGTTGTTTTTTTTCTTATGACCTTTAGCGCTGACGTTACCGAGTGTGTTGCAAAGGTATCTGCGGCTCGATTTCCGATGGCTATCGCGTAAACATGAACGGAGAAAAGTGTCGTAAGCGACTTCCGGTGTTCTCCCTACGCCCGGCTTTACGCTTCACGGTAACTTTTAAAAACGGCCTTTGCAATCCGCGTAAACGACAGCTTGCAAAATCTCCGTGCTTCTACCTTGCTTCATGCGCGCGCGCTCAAGTAACGCTCTGTAGGTGCATACAACAGTTCTCGGTAAACGGGAAACTTCCTTCGCGTCGAATATTCTCTACGTTGAAAGACGCAGAATTTCGAAAATCGTGAACAGGTAACTATTTCCTCCCGAGCCAACGCTGCTTTCGTGAGTCTCCACGTGAGAGAAACGTGTTTTTTTTCCTTTCGCCGTGGAATTCCTCGGCCGCGCGGACGCATATAGTAATTATCGTATTCTTCCGCAGTAAGTACCTCGGAGTGTTCGCTACTTTTCATACTTTGGTGTGTATAAACGGAGTATAGCGCCGCTAGCATACGCGAGGGCCGATCGAGTTCATCCGCGTCTCAGGCGCGCGAAGCAAGCGTGTCTCTAAGTCAGCGGGTCATCGGGCAGGTCGTTGACTTGCGATTTCACGCATTCACGCGACGTTCCACTGACCCATATGCGACGTCATCGTTTTCTTCGGCTCCCCGAATGAATTTTTCCGCCGCTACCTCAATGTCATATATCACGCTCGTCGCAATGTGCGAGGCCGTGTGCCGTGATCCACAATGCCGAGTGACATTGCTCGTCTTTTCTCTCTCTCTCTCTCTCTCTTTCTTTCTTATGCCCATTTAAGTAACGCTACTACATGCCTTGATCGTAAAATAGTTGTCGGAGGCGCATTTAGCGTCGCAAGAACGTGCGAAAAATGTAAAACGTTCGCAAATAGCGAGAAAATAATTCGCATGCGATGTCTATTCAATTTTCTATCGGATAAAAATATTATCTGAATTGAAATTGTTTCCATCTACGCGGAACTGCGAATATTTAAATTAAAAAGTTCTTAAAATGTAATATTTTGGAAGATTTTCATATTCTCATATTGATTATTGCATTTAACAAGCACGGAAAGAAGGAGTACGTTTTGAAAGTGAAATTGTTGCCCGTGAAATAACTTGAGGATGTAACTCTGCTACGCCACTGCACGTGCATGAATAATATTATTTAGATGCCTTATACAGTGCACTCCGCAGCCGTGACTACATGTTCACATAGGGAAGCAGCAGCAATACACTCGTATTATGTCGAGAGAAAAATAACATGAAATTCTCACTGCATTGTTTTCTAATTTTAAGAATCATGTTTCATGAACATAAATTTTGTTTCTTCAAGCTACCTATAGTGATGGAATTTCAAAACTCTTACTTATAAATTTTTAAACAAGTCAAGCATGACCGAAAATCAAGAATTTCGAAAGAATCTTGCAAGACTTGTTGACTTTCATCCTTTAACTCAAAATGTTTCGAGACGGTTGAAATCCCATCACCCACAATTTTTTGCGGAACAAATTTAGATAAAATTAAAATTATAGCAAAACAATAAAGATTAATTGAAAATAGATATAAAATACAAATTTTATTTTTTCTCGTTATTTGATAATCTTTTATCAAATAATCCGACAAATTAAAATGAAATCCAATTGAAATGAAATATAAAGATTAATTGAATAGATAAAATGGAAATATTGCGAATTCATAAATATGGATTAATATGAGATATTTTTACTTTCTGCATTGAATCAACTGCATCGCGTGCATTGCACCTGAATAAACAAGAAAATTGTTGCAATCCGCGGTGTATCGAATATCAGGTAGTATTGCGTAATCGGATCCTACATTTCAGTGCATTCCTCCGATCGATATTTCGCCTGCATCCGCCGTGGAAATTACGCATGGAATATGAACACGTAACGAATACCGCGTACGATCGTAGGTGTGGCTGCGAAGCCTGTGGCGTGCAGACGTATTTGGTTACGAATGTGAGGATACGCAGCTTGCTACCTACGTGAACATAAACATAATCAGCACGTGGTCGTATCTTGCAACACCGTCATGCTAATTTTCATATTAAACGAAATTAAATTGCCACTATTATTTTAATATAACAAGTATCACTTATACAGTATCCCTTATCACTTATGAGTTACGTTTAATGCGATACTCTTCGACTGTTATATATAGTTTTCGTATAAAAGGACGCACCGGAGAAATAAATAAAATAGAGAGAAATCTAAAACATAAGGTGAACTGAATTTTCAGACGGAAGGTGGATAAAATGTGAAGGTAAACCGTAGCAACGGAATTACTCATCGGGAAAACCGCTGCGCGGTCGTTACACGCCGGTACTACTTCCTTTCGCGTAATCATACAGCGGAGTGAACACACGCGGACCGTTATCATTGATCGGAGGAAGAAATGCGGCTGTTTTCCGCGTGACACCCCATAGAGGTGCGACGCGTGGAATGCGCTCTTGTGTGCTCTTGTACCACGCCGGAGGAAGTTATCGCCAATCTCCCGCCAGTCTCTCGTGGACGTGGTTCTTTCTTCATCCAACTTTTTCCGAAATCCCGGTCGATTTGTCCTTGTCAGGTATCGCGCAACAAGTCGCGCAAGACTGGTTTAAATATAAATAAAGCGAGTCAAGTATCAATTAATTAGACAGTTCAATTTTCCGCGAAAGAAGATTATTTTCCATCTATAGACAGCTTTAAAGATATAAAAATAAAAGCAGAAAATTCTTTCCATTTTACGATAAACTACGTAATTCTCGATTTTTCAAAATAACGATACGAATACAAAGACAACTCTGTTGTGCAATATCTCAATATGTTTTGGTCTCCGTTGTAATTTGGAGCGGATTTTTTTTAATTACTTAATCACCGATCGCTTGATGCAACTGTTGTCATAAAAAAACAAGATCATAATTCTCTGCTGTACGTAATTGCGATAAACGTCACCGTTGGTACACGCGCTAATAGAGTCGATAGCAACGTGACATGAGTTTCAACAAAAGCAACGCGATCGTTGTGCATTCGAGCGAGGCTCCTATTGACCATGACGTTCCGAAGACCGTGACAC